GGGGATAAGTTAAATTTCATCGTGATCCCCCGACCCATCCTTCCCCCCGCTCCGGCGATGAAAATGAGCGGTCCCTTAGATACTTCATTTTCCCTCTTTATTAAAGCTGTATCAGATGACAGAGATTTCAAAAAAAGCCGCCGGGCAGTGAAATACCGCCGCGGCACCTGTAAAACCTCTTACCGCCGTCTGTTTAATGTTTGGCCGGCGAGAAAGTTAGGCTCTTGTGTTAAGGTTTCGCCTACGCCCTTTTCCGGGCACAGCCGCCTGTTACACCGCCGGCTGCTTATGTCATTAACCCTTTAACTCCCAAGATCTCATCAGTAATTCTCCTTCCTGCCTGCCATACAGTTTTTTCTAATGTTAGTTCGGAGAACTTGGTTTTGGATCAATTAATAATCCCCCAATTGATATTTTTCTTTATTCTCATTACTTATCTGGTTGATATTTTATTAATATTATTAGGAGAAATTATGTCTTGGTCACTCATAGGAGTTAAAGGGTTAAGGAAAAAAGTTATTGAAACTCTTGTGACAAGTAAAGATCGCTAATTTTCAATCCCGTCCTTTGGCATGATTTTCTTTTTATGACTTGAAAAGTCCGAGGCCCATAAATCGGTTTTTATAAAATGTGACAATTAAATTTTGATTTTCCCACGGTGATGATACAAGCATATTAAATTCATGCACGAAACAGGGGATTTCTGTGACAACCAGATTATTTTTTGTTAGCACGATATGATGAAATTTCGAGCAGATCTGAGAAATTCTGATCAGTCTGAAGAATCACATGTTCAGCTCGCTCAGTATGTGTTCCTCTCCACTGTGGAAATAAGAATGTCATAGAAAACCGCAACATAGTTTAAAATATATCTTTTGTCGTTAAGACTATTAGCTGTTATTTTTTATGATTAGATTTGTCACCGACATAATTGCCTTGGGCTTTTTCAACTCTGCCCCATGCCAATTTTTTTAAGAACCTTCGAGAGGTGCTTCACCAGGTTTCATTTGAAACAACATCTGTTTGAAACCGGATTTCCAAGACGATATTTAATAGTAGGAAGATTTACCTTAACTTCCTTAAACTCTGAGAATGAAAAAAAAAATTCAAGAAAGATGTTCATGTGCGATCTTAAGTGTGCGCGTTTGTTTGTGCGTGCGTATTTCTTTTTCTTTTCTTTTTTTTATGCTCACAAAGTTAATTTCAAAGCTGATGAAATGTATTTGCTGTTACACAAAAACTCTAGGAATCTCATTTCCCGACTTCAGCGACACAACACTGCAGCAATATTACTCTCAAACGTGGACTAACCCATGAGTATTGTAAGTCATAGCGAAATGTTTGATTAATGCCATTTAAATCACGATAAACATTGATTCCTTCGATGAGTGAAATGTAGATTATCAAATTTGCATATCAATCGGATTTCAGGGAGTGAATTCAGTTAATGGCAACTTTGACGAGTCCCGAGGTCAACGACTGCAATTATATACACATCTTCGACCTCTTGCACGCTATTGAATCCCAAAGGATTTATCACTTCCAAGTTTCTCTTCTACTAATTGCTGCTTAATCTAATGATACCAGGATATTTTAATTTCTGGGCAAGTGAGCTAATCTGATTTTATTTTTTAATTTCTTTAAGGTAGAGAAGATAAAGGAGTTAAATCGAGTCGAGTCGATCACGATTCCACGTTATTTATTGGTAGCCGCGCTGTAATCACATAAAGATTGGCTGGATGGTTTCCATTGTTTATTCTTCCACAAATTAGCATAACTAAAAAATACAACAATATCTATCGAGTAGGCAATCCATCAACAGTTCATCTGCGGACTCCGGTTTAATCAGATGTGACAGGTGGAGAAGACAACACTCCTTATTACCTTTCAAAGCTTTCAAAACAACACTGCTGTGCCGCAGGTCAGGAAGCTGGACAAATTTGAAGCAATATGGTTCGCCAAATCGTTTTGATTTCTGGCTGTTCCAGCGGCATTGGACTCGCTACAGCTGTATTTCTCGCCAAAGATTCTGAGAAACGCTTTAAGGTCTACGCCACCATGAGGAATCTGTCGAAGAAAGGACAATTGGTGGAAGAAGGAAAGGAATCTCTTGAAGACACACTGGTTATCAAAGAGATGGACGTGAGCAGTGACGAATCGGTGCAGAAAGCTGTGGAGGAAGTGTTAGACACTGAAGGGAGAATTGATGTACTATGTAAGTGCCGGTGGTCCTGTAATAAGATTTTATGATTTTCCTCATAATCATTAATCATTTTTTACAATACCACCTTCTCGAGAAAGCTGGATATAAAGTTCAAGTTGCGTTTTCCTTAAACAGTACACTTAATGGATAAAAGCAATACCTTTAAATTGTACACGAGACGTACGCTTTTGCAAATCTTTTGTTTGCTGAGGTGACAATGCCAGTATCAGCTTGTGGCTAATCGTTTATTTATAGAAGACATAGCGAAGAAAGGATCTCTTAATGAATAATTATCCATGAAAAACCTGCTTACAAATTTCGTGGTTAAACCAAAAGTTGTTCGGAAATCTTAATAGCTAGCGCTTCAGGCAATGCGGTTTTGTTCATGAATCATAAAATGCCAATTGAAAGGTTACGACAGAGATCAATTTCAAGGCTCTCTATTTTTCGATACTTTATTGTGTGTTAAACGATAACATTAGCAGGGCCGGAGACAAGCATTAACGCCTGCTGTTTGTGCAATCAAAGCAAAAAGGCAGAAGGAATTTTAAATACGAAAATCATCCACCACAAAGTGAGTTATATGAAGCGGGGTCGAAGGGTCTCTCTTGAGTACTTCATCAGCAAATACATATAAGACTCAAGGTCGAGAACGAGTGTTTGGTCATTTTTTTTAGACGTATCAAAATGATGGATGATTCACGCGGGATTTTAAAACTTCCTAATCAAACCTGAGCTGATCGTATAAAAGAAAACGATGAATGCCTTGTCTTTAAGACCAAGTTTGATCTATTGCTCGAGGCGTTTGCTCGGTTTTATAGCTTCACCATGAATACTTCTTTGTGAGAATTTAGACAATTTACGTGCGTAGTTATTTCAGTAAAACAAACGAGGATCATAAACGAGGCTATTGTGCACTTAACCCTTACTTATAGCCAACGTAGTAATTCAGTGTATAGGAAATAATTGCCAGAATTCAATATTTTTAATCCTTTTAAAAAATGGGCAAAACGTCCCATTGCAAGAGGGTTCCCTGAGACACAAGGCAGTACAAGTCTCCCATTTCTTGCGCGTCTTCCCCTCTCTGGTCCGCTTTTAAACTGAGAAGTCTGCTTGCGTTGAAATCGACCCAAGGATGCTATGAGCGCTGGTAAAAGTGGTTTAAAATGACGGTAAAAAGGGAATCAAAGCTATTTAGACACTGCCCGCTGTAAAGATTTTTGACCCCAAAATAAGTGAAATATTTTATTTAGCTAAGAACTAGCTGGTATTATCTATTCATAAGTTAACAACGCTGGTATTGGAGGTCTGTTTACTGCACTGGAATGCACACCACTCGCCCTGGTCAAGGAGCTGTTTGAAGTGAATTTCTTTGGCTCTGTGCGTTTGATCCAAGCCGTGCTACCAGGAATGAAAGCAAGACGAAGCGGACATATCATCAACAACAGTAGCCATCTTGGTATCGTCGGGGTGCCTTTTAACGAGAGTTACTGTGCAACAAAGTTCGCTATGGAGGGACTCACGGAAGCTTTAGCTCCAGTCTTACTTCATTTCAACATCAGGTAATGTGATAGTCTTCAGTCAAATCTCCGATAGCTCTTCTATAATAAGCCGAATGATACACATGTTTTGATGATTCTTGTTTTTGGAATCTATTCAGTAAATAGACTCTTCTTTGCCGTGCATTCGTTCAATGATAGATCGCAGATGACGTAAAAATTTGGTAAGAATTACAAGTGGCTCACGAGACGCAGCCAAGTGTGATACTGATCCGCTGACCTTATCGATGATCCATTGATAAACGGACGCATGGTCACATGGAATCTATCTAAAGTCATTCATAGTGACGTCTGTCCTCTGATAAATCATTGGATGGAACTAATTAAAATTCTCATATAGTGCAGCTTATCGTATAATTCTTAATTAGATTATGTACAAGAAACGGAAATCGAATTTTCGCGAATCAAGGGAGAATATATCTTACAGAGTGTAGAGCACAAGCTCTGTAACCGCAAAGGTAAATTCACGCTTAAAGACAATGCAAACTTTTGATAAATGGATTCCATGTTGCCTTGGTTCTGTACAGTAATAGATCACAGACAAGAACAAAAAAGTGGCACACATGGTGCAGCTGAGTGTGTCACTGATGTTCTTACCATATTTTGACGTGTTCTGTGATCTATTACTGTGCAGACCCACAGCAATATGGAATATTGCTTTTATCAAGAGAATCTCTTGGTTTTATATAACAAAGAAGGAAATAATAGTGGTGATGACGTCTATATGTCTGTCCTCTGATAGATCATAGATCATAAGAGCTACTCAGTTCATTATTGCATAATCAGCCCACTTTATCATTGTTAACTGGATTATGTATGACAAATGAAAATCTAATTTCCGCTTGGAGTCAAGTGAGGATGTATCTTAAATAGAGTATAGAGCAAAAGTTCAGTAGCCGCGAAGGTATATTTATGTTAAAAGATAACTGCAAACTTATTGAGTTACTCTCCAAAAGAGGTAACTGAGGATGGTGATCGTTTTAAATTCCGTCGGGAAAAATTTCCATACAATAGCAGAATTGCAATGTGGGTGTGATGCTGATGTATTTCACTCTTTAAGGTATAAGGTCTCAGGTGGTAATTTCTGAGATATTTTTATGTTCTTAAGCCATTTCAGGATTTTTCAAAATCACTTTTTAATCCTTTTTGCCTTTTTTCGATTTTGGCCTTATTTCTAGAGCTTCTAATTCATACCAAAAAAAAAGCCAAGTTTATGTTGGTAACCTCTCCTTGCAGGTGTACCATACTCGAACCAGGCCCTACGCAGACCCTCGGTCCTGAAAATGGCACCGCCTTCGTCAACAAATTCAGTTTATCAGACGCCGACCAAAAGAGTCAAGAACTTCTGGGAACCTTTGCGGGGAGAATGTTCTCTATGTTCGGAAGTACAATGCAAACTTCTCACCAGGTGGCAGAATACGTGAAGAATATTATCCTCTGTGAGAAACCACAGTTTCGATACCAAACAAATGCAAAATACAGACCCGAGGAAATCAAAGTGAAGCTTGCCGATCCTACAGGAAATACTTTAGTTGAAATGGTGAAGAGAGACTTTCTCGACACTGAATAACTCATGTTTGTAAAATGTGAACAATATATAAAATTCAGCGTACAAATACACTATGAATTTAATCAGTAGCTTTTTATCGACTTACTACTCGAGTTTTCGTTGCAGCATGTTTGTGACTAATAGGGAGATCTGTTCACCAGTCTAATGGTTTTTTTCCCAATCCCACTTAGCATTCCTTGCGCAACTAATATAGTAAGCCAAACACTGCAACGATCTTTACATCCTTTATGTGAAGCTCTGAATGTTTTCTGGCAAAGGATCTATTTCGTCGCGCGAAGTTTTTTTCGTCGATTAGTAAATAGAAATGTTGCTGGGTTTTTTAGACCGTTTCATTGCAGTTCTGGGACCTACTTAGGAAAACAACAAAAAGATGTTAAATATACATATATATATATGTGTGTGTGCGTGTGTGTGTGTACACATATGAACCGATGTGTATCATACTGACTGAATCAAATGTCTTATCCTCATTCTGTGTCAGTCATCATTACTATTTCTCCCGGTACCGCTCGGTTTGTCGAGTACAAGCCAGTGCAACGTAGTAGAAGCACAGTTATGAAAGTAACTCAAGGTCATTTTATTACCCGTGTATCCCTTGCAACTTGTACTCGGAAAGAACAATTATATATATTTTTTTGCACGCTTACGGTGTAGTCCTTCTCTCGTTATGGAGAATGATCTGGGAGTTACTTCCTAAACGGCTGGTGAGCTGTCTTTTGAAGGTAGCCCATGGTTTACAACTTACAAAATAATTTTTGACGTCTCCTTCGTGAAGGAACCAAAATTTGCTCGTAGAAGGCGTCTGTTCTTCAGGCTGCTACATCTGAGGCTTTTCTTTTCTAGTTTTGCTGCACTCGTCAATTCAAGTGAAAGCAACTTTTATAAATAGAAAGCATTAAATGTAACAGAAAACCTGTCCTGTCCTGTATAAGTATAGTGACCCAGGTCGACATTTTTGGATTACAGGTAAAATAACGAATATGTGACGTGAAGGTACTTTGTCCACAACGATAAGAAGTTTATAATTTTGCATTGTTCTTGTGCAATTCACGCTTTCAAGTTCTAGTTGTTGTTTTTAGCAAATTCCCAAATGACTTCTAACTGAATATTGGACTGCTATACAGGGCATTTCATTTTCCCCTTTTTTTTGGCCTATTCTACATAGACTTGTACCTCTCCGGTCCCGAATGAACTCTATCGGGGAGTTTGGGGATGAGTCACGCATGACTACTCACGCTGCTTAGTCACGCATTAGTTACGGCCGAAAGAAGCGACGTTGAGGGAAAGAAATCATGTCTTCTCGCCAAATCGTGTTGATTTCAGGCTGTTCCAGTGGCATTGGACTCGCAACAGCTGTGTTTCTCGCCAAAGATGCCGAAAAACGCTTTAAGGTCTATGCCACCATGAGAAATCTTGCGAAGAAAGGACAACTGGAGGAAGAAGGAAAGGAATATCTTGGAGACACATTGGTTGTTAAACAGATGGACGTGTGTAGTGATGAGTCAGTGCAGAAAGCTGTGAAGGAAGTGTTGGACACAGAAGGGAGAATTGATGTTCTTTGTAAGTTACCTTTTGTTAATTTTTTAACATTCTGTATTGTTTTGTTGGAGTTAAGTAGTAATTTTAAGCGTATACTGCGTGAATCGCAATGTTGCGCAACTACGGTGGAACCCCGCTCACCCGAGAAGTAAGAATTATTTGCTTATCAGCTTAATACTCCATCACGGGTGAGCTCTTTTCTTTACTTCGTTTATCTCAGTGAAAATATTGGTGTAGGTAACAAGATTATTTCGAGTTAAGCGTCAATAAGCAAGGGTAAATTTTTCAAAGGCAACAAAATTGCATGTTGTAAAAGTACCTATTGACACCATTACTTATTAATAATTTACATGAAAAAATAATCCTAAAAAGTCACGAAAGACCAAATTTTGGCAGCGGGCCTGTGCTATTTCACATTTGCATTCGTGTTAGTATAGTTAATCACTTCATTTCGAGTCCAATTTGGAATAAATAAGCAGGAGTAAATTTTTTCAAAGACGAACAAAATTGCACGAGCCCGTAGGGCGTGTGCAATTTGTTGTCTTTGCAAAAATTTACATTAAAACATTTACATTCGAAATCATGTGATTAACTATACTAATATTATACATGAAAAATACGAGATAGCTTATCATAATTATGCAGAAGCAAAGCGCGTGCATCAAATGCAAAAAAAATTTATTCAAACCATGCAAGTGACTTTGTGCGTTCGGTTAAAACAACCGCGTACGATCAAAACAATAATATACAATGATATTTTCACATCTTTGAGGCGCAATAAAGTTCAAAGTCTGGCTAAACAGTTCAAAGAATAGTTCAGTCTGGTTTGTTACTTCTTTGCACTGAATTAACCCTCTTCTGCATTTAATTACCTGAAAACTGCATCTATCGTGACCAATCAGAACTGAGTAATTTTTTCATGTATCTTATGTTATGAAAAATGAACTCGTTTTCAGCCAATCAGAAGTAAAATGCACTTCTTCGAGTAGCTCCGGTGAAGAATGCTTCCTTCAAAAGTTTGTGCTATGGAAAGATTCTCTTCATTTCCAAGTTTCTTTCTTGATTTGTGCCCGTGTTATTTTGCAATATTTGCAGTTAACAATGCTGGGGTGTCACTTCTAACAATCCTTGACTGTGTCCCCATGGAATTGGCTAAAGAAACATTTGATATCAACTTTTTTGGGACCCTGCGGTTGATAAATGCAATTCTCCCAAGCATGAAAGCAAGAGAAAGTGGACACATAATCAACAACAGCAGTGTTTTTGGAGTTATTGGTGCCCCATTCTTTGAGGTATACTGTGCGTCGAAGTTTGCTGTTGAAGGGCTGACAGAATCTCTGGTTCCAACTCTTAAGCACTTTAACATAAGGTAATCAGTTATGAATCTTTTGATTATTTCTTTTAATTTTTGTCTCCTTTTTTGCATCTAGGGTCCTGTTGGCAAAGATTTTAAGAGCAATTTGGTGTTAATAAGTGCAAGTAAATTCTGCAAAGACGACAAAATTTCACAAGTCTGTAGGGCGAGTGAAATTTGTAGTCTTTGAAAAACTTACAAGTGCCTATTTAAACCAAACTGCATGAGAAATCATGTTCTTATTTAACAATTTGCATGAAAAAAATATCACAGAACGTCAAGACTGGCAAATTTTGATAGTGTGCGCTATTTGTACTTTGCGTTTGTTTTACAACTTTGCAACAGTGTTACATAAAAAATACACTTATTTACAGCCTATCAGATGTGTATGATTTTTTCTAGTGTATTATTAACCACTTTAGTACTTCCAAAGGCCTCTTTAAACCCATTGACCAATAAGGGTGACTGGCATCTAATTTCTCCTTACAATATCACCTCTGAATCAAACATTAAGTCTACAATGTTATTGAAATGATCGCTGCCTAAGGAATCTGTTGATTATTAGACAAATTCTCCTTTTCAGTACCTTAGTGAATATATAGAGAACAGCATGGAGAATATGCACACTAATGTTACGGTGGAGAAGGTTAAGGTCTTGTCATTGGCTCTGACTGAGTTGAAATTGATTTTAATCCAAGGCTCTTTTAAATGTTGGCCAATATCATTTAGTATTTTAAACCAATATTCCTTAAATAATATTTTTATTTACTCTCATCACTGCTTAGCCTACCTTACTGTAAGGAGAAATTTTTTTGTGTCACTTCTATGGGTGAAGGGGAAAAGTTTCTTAGAAATGTTGAAAGAACTCCATTTTACACGCTTTACTAGCCAGAATGTGCCTGCTGCAATTTTTTTAAAATTTGCTCAGTACCCTTTAATTAACCCTTTGATTCCCAGAAGTGATTAGCATGTAACATCTCCTTACCATTGTGTACATTATTCAGGAAACAAGTAATGAGAATATTCAAACTTATCAGGTAGAAGTTATCATCTTGATCTAAGACCCAATTCTCATGGCTAATTTTAAAGGAAATGTGTTGCAGCTAGAGGGGAGAATTTATTGTCTTTCTTTTTCCTTCTGAAATAGATGCACTTTGCTTGAGCCTGGCCCTGTAAGCACTTCAATTGGAGACAACAATGTTGAAAATACCAAGGGTATTGACTTGAAAACTGCTGACCAAAAGACACAGGACTTGTGGGTCAGAATGATGGAGAGAATAGGTCCAGCTTTTGAAGGAAAGTTTTTAACTCCACAGGCAATAGCAGAGGTTGTTCAAGATATAATTCTAAGTGACAAGGGCCAGTTTCGCTATCTACCTAATGAAGGAATGTTTAGTGAAGAAATTACTGCCAGATTTGCTGATGCTACAGGGTTTAAATCTGTGAACCTGGTTGCCAAACAGTTTTTTGATGACAAGTAGTATTCATACAAAAACAAACAAAAAAAAGAGGTAGATTAAGCAACACAGTGGAAAGGCAATCTTTCAACATGACTATTCACTGAAGTGTCATGTGATCTGATATGCAAATTAACAATAGTGTGCACAGAATGGTATTAAAAGACTTTATTAACACATTTCATGTCAATCCAGATAAAATAACTCAAAATGTAATTGTATATTTTTGACCACAAACTCTATGAGGTTAGATTCCACCATATTGTAAAACTAACTGCATAACTTGACTTATGTGCATGGTAAGTTTCAAAGAACAGTTTCTCCCAACTTGGATTAAAGAAGGAAATAAATGAAAAATGACTTGAAATAATGCAATTATTGAGTGTGTGAAAGTTAAACCCCAATCACTTTCCCCATGGATCGAACTTCAACCACCATTAATCCCTTGATTATGCCTTCAAGTTCCTCCCCATTGTGTAAATATCCCCTCCTTAGAATATCACAGAACTCTGTTTCTGTTTCTGTATAACTTTCTGTTTCTGTTCAACACATAGATTCCATCTTGCTGTGATTAATTTATGGTAAGAACATCAGTTACACACTCAGCAGAACCTCCTGTGCCTCTTTTTTATTGCTCAGGTGTTGAGGTGGGTTGCATGAAAGAAGTAGCTACTCTTGTTTCATAAAGCAAAAATACAGAGCCAATAAAATTAAGTACAGTCTAAAGAATTAAAAACGGCTTCTCTTATTATAAATTATTTTGCCGTTGCATCGTCAATCTGCTGTCTTTTCCCCTTAATTTTTATATAGGCTCAGCCACTCGATGGAACATCCTCCCTCTTCCTTCCCCTCCCCACGACGAACTCTAAAAACTGTGCACCGGAAGTGCTATCGGAAAAGCCGAAAAAGTTCTTAAGCGTCAAGTCTCTCTTTTTTTTTTTTTTTTTTTTGAAGACCGGGTCTGAGAGTACCGAAGAAATAGAACCGATAATTAAACAGCTTTAGCTTTAACTTCCTGATTTCTAGTCCGTCAGAGAACCTTAGTGACGAATCTTTTATTTGGTAAATTATTATTAGTTTTGTTATTTACTCTTTCGGGAAAATTTTTTCTAAAACGAAAATTTCCCATGGCAACCAAAGAAGTATTATTGTTTCCTCAGAAGCGAAAAGGCGTTCATATTTGAATTTACTCTATGGGTTACCAAGGTTTAAAACTTTAGCAAAAACTCTTATTTATCTTTCCCCACGAGAAAATCTGGGCTCTGCCTTTTTCTTATTTTACTTTCCCTTAGTGGCCTTCGCCTGAAACGAAGCAGAGCATACTACGTTTCCCGTTTTTATTATAATTTTTAAGCTTATATTTTGCACAGTTGATAGCCACACCTAATCTTTTACGATTGAATTCAGATAGATTTTGCATCTAAATATATTTTCTCTTGATTTCAGGCAATTTCCGAGAGCTGCGATTTTTGCCCCCTACCTAGTTCAAACAAAGTCATGTAAGGTCAAGTACGGATAAATTAAGTTATTTTCATCTCCATCCGAGTCTTTGGCAGCGCTGATTTTTTAAACACGTTTTATTTATTCAAGCTACTTAGCACACCCCATTAGCAGACTGACAATCGTCAAAAACAACATGGCCGTCCAAATAGTGTTGATTTCTGGCTGCTCTAGTGGCATTGGACTCGCTACAGCTGTGTTTCTCGCCAAAGATGCCGAGAAACGCTTCAAGGTTTATGCCACCATGAGA